TTCCCGACAGAGTGCTGAGTTGGCAAAACGTGGTGGGAATTTTTATGCAAATTAGTCACTGGATATTTAAATCCCTGCTTCATTTGCAATGTCGACCTGGCGACAGAGGGATGCAGTCTTGACATACACGCAGAGGTATAAATGGAGACTCTCTATAGGTCATTGTCATTTTTCATTGGAGGTTCTTTCAGTGGCTATCTTCACATATTACACATGTTGTCCTTTTGATTTCTGGGGATTTTCAAGCACATATTCAGGAAATATCACAAGTTTCAACTGAAGAAGTGAGCTGTGCCCACGGAATCTCATGATACCATCGACATTTTTGGTTACTTTCTAAGGGTATGTCTACACAACAGTGTTATTTCAGAATAACTAATGTTATTCCAAAATAACATAGTCCGTGTCTACACTAGAAGCAGTTATTTCAATATAATGTCAAAATAATGTCGAACTGGAGGACTTTTTATTCTGACTACTGTAACCCTCATTGTAGGAGGAGTAAAGGAAGTCGGAGGAAGATTGCTCTTTCTCAGACTTCCTGCTGCATAGACAGCGCCAAAAACCGAAATAAGTTATTTCCACTTAAGCTACACAATTGACGTAGCTCAAGTTGCATAGTTTATTTCAGCTTTAGTCCTGCTGTGTAGATGTGCCCTAAGGGTATGTCTACACAGCAGGAAGTTGAAGGAAGAACACTCTTCCTTCGACTTCCCTTACTCCTCCTAAAATGTGGGTTAATGTGAGGCAGAATAAGATGACTTGACATTATTTTGAAATAATGGCTTGTAGTGTAGACATGCACTACGTTATTTCAGAATAACATTAGTTATTCCGAAATAATGCTGCGGTGTGGACATACCTTAAGGTGCTGCAGAACTATTCATTGGTTTTTAAGTTTTTTCAGTTCCAGACTAACACAACTACCCCTCTGAGACTTTTATACAGGAGATATGAAAAATAAGAGATTATGTAGGTCAAGGCTTCTCAACACGTGGCCCGCCTTCGGCCTGTTTGTTTGCAGCCCATGGTGCAGTTTGGATTTACACGGGGCTCAATATGAGGCCCGCGAGTGGGGGGCCAAAACAAAAAAGGAGTCAATATAATGGTCTTCTGTTGATATGCATTTTAGTAGTTAAATTCCTGGACTGTCATTGTTCATTAAAAGTGCTGTCATATGGGTGGAAATCGGGTAAATATTGCATTTTATTAATATCAGCAGAACTGACTTAAATGGGGCCTGCGTGTTATGCAGTCTTGCCTTAATCTTCGTATTCACGCCCGTCAGTGTGAACTAAGCTATTTGCATATATTAAGCCCAAGTGTTTGCAGGGTCAGGTGTGAAGCTTGTCCTCAAGGCACGATTAGTCAATCAGAGATTTTTCCTGATGGGTTAATGTAATCTTTAAGATCCTTTCACTGGGGTGCAGTCTTTCTGGAACAGGTATGAATATTTCTCTGTAGCTTGCAGATGACTGTTACAATTATTATTACTGTTATTATTGATTTATGCCAGGCGTGTCTCAAGCCTTAAAACATTTTTGTTGAATTACTATATACATAGGAATCACTTCACTTCAGACACTGAAGTAAGACAGCCTTCTCTGGAGAGAAACTCAAGGAGCCTTTAGGATGCTGGCAGTAACATCAAACAGCAGTCCAGGACAGGAAGTAAAGAATACCCCAGCACCTTGAAGAATGGTTTGGCAAAATGCAGAAACAAAACTGGAATCTAGCTGAGATCTCCTGTGTTAATGCCCTATCTACCTTGTGTGCTCACATTAAGTCTCTTGAAGGAAGTAACTTGGTTTTATGGGTTAAGGAGTGAATGCAAAATGTTATTATCTTTTATTATTGAGAAGTCATGTAATTAACAAGGAAAACCTTATACACAGGAGTCAGATAATGTTCTGATACATGTTTCTGAATCACTGTGAACAAATAGGCACATGGGAAAAAATTATTCCACAGTGCAGGTTCAAGTCACCTATCAAACATTTCAAAAGAGATTACAAGAAAGGGACATTGCCAGCTTGTCAAAATATTAAGTACCTGAAGCATCTTTAATCTTGATGCTTATTCAAAATAACGCATAAATCCATTGAAAAGGATAGAGCTGGGTAGTAAAGAGAAAGTAATTCTTTCTTTCATAAAAATAAAGAGCAATGTGTTATTTATGGCACCAAATCAGGAAAGCACTTAAATATGTGCTTACCTGCTTTGCTGAATTGGAGGTCATGCTTTTGGCTAAAAGACCCTTACTTAATATTATCAAACCATTTTTATGGGAAGAGTATCTCTTCCCTGGTTCTAATAATGAGTGATCTTTGGAAAGGTTCATTTTATCACAAATAATTTTGCTCTGCAGTGCAATAAACAAGTTACACACATTGGGCTTAATTAATCCCCACCACTCACCAGCAAAGACCCACTAGTGCACTTTCTTTGAATCTGACCTTAAATATGCAACTTTCCAGGGATGAAGTGTTTAAAATGGGCATCCTGGTAAAATTCATTGCATAAAACAGTCAGCAGTATGGATTACTCAAGGCACGAAGGCACTGGAGTGTGAAGTAGGCAGATTTAGGAAAGTTATGTCAAGCAGGGTAACATTTTTCTTGCCTTCATACCTGCTGAAAAAAAACAAACCCAGGGGTGGGCAAAAAGCAGCTAATAGGCAGGATATAGTTAGCCATGATTAACCCCTGGGACAGAGGCTATAAAAGAGATTCAAATTAATACAACTACATGCAAGGGAAATATCATACAGCCTTTGGATAATAAATATTTTTTTTAAAATCATGTGTATTTGGGAATTCACTTTATTGCGAAGTTATGATTTGTACACAATTCATTTGTCCCTGCATGTTACATATATCTGAGATTTGTCCTATTCTTATATTTTCAGAAACGCCTAAGTTATGTAGATGCCTAAATCTCATTTTCAAAAGCAACATAAGCATTCAGTGCCTAGGGGTATGTCTACACTACCACCCTAGTTTGAACTAGGGTGGTAATGTAGACATACCGCACTTGCAAATGAAGCCCGGGATTTGAATTTCCCGGGCTTCATTTGCATAAGCCGGCCGGCGCCATTTTTAAATGCCGGCTTGTTCGAACCCCGTGCCGCGCGGCTACACGCGGCACGGGCTAGATAGTTCGAACTAGCAAGCCATTCCGAACT